AGGGAACCACAATCTCATCCAATTATCTTATCGGCGGCTCAAACGGAAATGCGTTTCGCACACGCCGTACGGTCGGCAGATTTTCCTTTGCGCTGAGACTTCGTCTGTTTTCCTGCTCCTGAGGTGCTGGTGCGAAGATCGCTGGCGCGCTCTTCAGGTCGGAGTCTCGAGAGTTGGCCTCTTCAGAATGTGGATCTCCATGCTGCTCGGCACGGCCTGTTGAGTCACTATAGCCCAGAGGGGAAGTGAAAAGGATCATGCCTTCTCAGAAGGGTCGGAAGTCCCCTGGCCTTCCGAGGATTTTTTCTGAGAAACCGCGTCGCCTTCCGAGAAGGCCGTCTCCTGTTCACTTCCCCCCTCGCTCGTCGCGGATCTTAAGCAGGAACGTGGGAGGAACATCGGGGAAAGAAGGAGGGGGGAGCGGCCCGAGCTCCAGGGACCTCGCGCCTGTGAAGCAAGGGATGCCGCGCCCGCAGCGGCTGACGGAACGATTCGGTGCCCTCCAAGCAGGCCGGCGATGAGCTAACGCTCAAGGGAGGAAACACCACCTGGACCCAAAAATGGGGTTTGCTAAACGGCCCTGGGCGTTTACTGAACAGCCCTGCCCTGTTCGATTCCTTCTTTGGGGCGTTTACTAAACGGCTTCGCGTGTCGGGGTGCTTATTATGAGGGCGGATTTCCTGCTCTCTGATCTGAACACACAGATGCCAGTGCCGGTTCAGTTGACATGGGCATCCGAGCTCGCGCCTTTCCAAAGAGCCGCACGGAGGCACAGTGGTGGTGCAGTGGGCGTGCTGGTCGAAGCTAGCGGGGGCATGGCGACGGCGGTCGTGGAACCGCCATCCCGCCCAAGTTGCTTAAGCAGAAGCACGCGAGGAGGCAGGTGTAGGTGTGCAGTGGGGGAAGAGGAGAGGACGGGGGAGCGAGCAGCCCGAGCTCCGGTGATCTCGTGCCTTGTTAGGTTGGGGATGCCGCGCCTGCAACGGCGGTATGAACGAGTCAGGGCCGTCCGGGCGGGCCAAAGCCGAGCTGGCACAGTCGGTGACGGGCATCCCGGCTCGCACCTCACCAGAGCGCTTCGAGAAGGCACAGTGATGGTGCAGTTGGGCGCATTGGCAGAAGCGGGCGGGGGCATTGCGATTGGGGAGCCGACGTTGCACATCAGTGTCTTAAGCAGAATCGTGCGAGGAAGGAAGAGGAATCAGACGGGGAGAGGGGGAGCTCCAGGGACCCCGTGCCCTGTTAGGCTTGGGGTGCCTCGCCTGCAACGCTTGAGTGAACGACGCGACGCCGCCCAAACACGGGCCAGAGCTTCCGCCGCACACGGATGCCAACGCGCGTTCATCGACGGATACAGTGGAGGCCCATGCCAAGAAACACCCTGCTTGCCTGCAGGGTGCGCTTGGTTTCTTGGGTTTCGACGGTTTTGCGATGGAAAGCGTGACTTCGTCCCCCCCCCTCCCAAAATCAATAGACGTCCTGGGGTCTCAGGGTTGGGTTTCTTGTGGAAGGTTCTCCACATAGGCTTGCCCTATAGGAGTCCTAGCTCATCATAAGTGATTGGTCTTTGGCCCCCCCCTTTACTTGCGCTTGCTTGATTTTGCTCCTCCCGTTCTCCTCCCGTCCTGCTCCCGTCCTCCTTTCGTCCTCCTCCCATCCTCCTCTCGTCCTCCTCCTGTCCTCCTATCTATTTGGAGTCAACGCTGGCTGATATTTCCTGTTGACCGGCCCCCACTGTCTGCGCATCCCGCTTCGCCCCTCGCCAAGACGCCCCGCGAAGGCGCCGTGGCGGTGCGGTAGGCGCGCTGGCCGAAGCCGGCGGGGGCAGCGCGAGGGCGGCCGGGGAGCCGACACATCGCACCGACGGGTGCCAAGCAAAGAGCGCGTGAGGGGGAGGGGGGGCGGGAGGGGGAGGGGAGAAGCAGCGGTCCGCCCGCACAGTACGGATGGGCGGCTTTTCCAAGGCTGCCCCTGCATCCCTGCCCCTTCGGCCCATCCTCAGCGGCTTTCGCTGGCCAGCCTCGCTCGGAAAGCGTTGACATGGCCCTCCAAGGCCCTTGTATCCTTTGTATCCTTACCGCGCATCCTTGTTATACGGGTTGACTGAACGGGGCAAACGGCCCGAGCTTCAATGAGTTTTCACCAGCTTACCAATGAGGGGGAGAAAATTTGGGGCGGGGGGGAGGAAGGAATTGTAACAACATCAAGGGACATGTGAACGGGAAGTTCTGGCCAGAGAGCTCCCCCCATGTCGGGAGTTGCTAAGGGTGTTCCTGGCCCACAGCGTTCCAGCCCGTCGCGCCATTTTGGGCCCGCCTGGGGTCTTCAAGGCTTCGTGGCGGTCGGACGACGAGGTCTCTGTGCACGCTCATCGCCCCTGGCCAGACCCATCCCGGATCCAGGGGCGGGGTATGCCCCCGTGGTCAAGCCAGGGAGGGCGCCCCCTGAGATCCGACGTTGGGAACAACTTGCAGCACCACGAAAAGTCACGAGACGAGCCCTGGAGCCCACCCCACGCTGCATGCCTGCGAGCCGCCTCGCGCCGTGCGGGGCCGTGGCCCGCAGCGAGCCGAGGCTGCCCATGGCGAGGCACCGTGCGACGCCAGGACCCGAGGGTGCACGCCGCTCCCCCGCCCAGGGCACGGCGCGGGTCAGTGGCCGTGCGCGGCTCTCTCCGCCCGAGGCGCGTGTCCCGCGGGCTGCCTGGCCCTCGCCGGACGAGAGCCGGCCCGGCCCTCACTGGGCCGGGGCCGCGTCCGCACAGCACCCGCGGGGCTCGAGAGGAGGAGGGGGAGAAGGAGGAGGAGGAGGAGGAGGGGGAGGAGAAGGAGGAGGAGGAGGAGGAGGAGGAGGAGGAGCAGGAGGAGGAGGAGGAGGAGGGGGAGGGGGAGGGGAGGAGGGGGAGGAGGAGGAGGAGAGGAGGGAGGGAGGAGGAGGAGGAGGAGGAGGAGGAGGAGGATGAGGAGGAGGAGGAGAAGAGGAGGAGGAGGAGGAGGAGGAGAGGAGGAGGAGGAGGAGGAGGAGGAGGAGGAGGAAGGGGAGGGGCTCGAGAGACGGGGACCAATGCAAACGAGGGTCAGCCAGAGCGCTGGATCTTGCAGGATCCTCCTGCAGAGCCAGGGTCGCACTGACCCGGGTTTGGGTGCAGGCGCCTGCAGGATCCTGCGGGGTCCTTCGCACTGGCCCGGGTTTGGGCGCAGGATCCTACAGGATCTCGCCGGATTCTGCAAGGCCCGACTGACCCGGGTCTGGACCGACCCGGGTCAGAAGATCCCCGGCGCCCGACCCTCGGCCTTCGGCACAGCAGCTCCTGTCCACTCTGGACAGGACCCGCTGTCGCTGCCACCGCGGGCGTGCTCCAGTCGAGAGGAGGCCGCCGGCCCAACAGCGGCCGCTCTTGGCTTTCAGCAGCACCGCTCGTGGGGTACCGTGCCCGCTGCTTCTGTACCCACCTCGGGCCGGCAAGCCGGGCCCGCGGCGCCGCCAGGGCGTCATCGGCGCCGTCGGCCCCCCGCCGCTGAGCCTGGAGGGCGGCCCCGGGCTGGCCGCGGTCGGGACCGCGCCCCGCCCCTCGTCGGGGGCGGCCAAGAGGGGGGTGATGACTAGGGGGGGTGGATATCATGGCGGGGGCCAGGGCGCTTCTTATTTCATTACGTCCCTGGTCCCCCCGCTGGGCCGCGCACATGCCGCCGGTCATGATGTGCCCCCCCCCCTCTTGGACACCCCCCTCTTGGCCGCTCCCGAGCTCGGCCGGCCGACGTTAAGGCAGTTTTGTGGATCTGGACCGGCTCTGGAGGCTCCGGGTAAGTCTGCGGATGTGCCCACGACGGCTCCAGGACGCGTCCTGCAGAACGAGAGCGAGGAGGAGGAGGAGGATCAGGGGAACCCCGAGACGCGTCGTAGATGTTGTAGTAAGCCCTCCCACCACGTTCCCTGCGCATAGGGTTATGACAGAATTCGTTTTCATTGCGGGACATGGCCCATTGGAAGACAGCTGTTTGAGAGTCTTCAATCGTGCCAAAACACCGCTCCTGGGATTGCAACTCCGCGAATCAACGTGACTGTTGCGTCCTGGGTCAGAACACCATTCCTGGTACTTCAACACCGCGAGTCAACGTGACTGTTGCCCTGACAGTTCTTAATCGTCGTGCTATAACACCTTCGTGTCATTTGGACCATACAAATTCTTGAAGCTGTTGCAACACGTCAAGACGAATGTCCGCGGCGCTGAGGCGAGATTAGCATTTTGAAAAGGAGCCACACTCCATCCTTGACGACGTCGCAAATATTGACGCTTCGCGTATCCCCACCAGCCCAGCTGTTACCTTGCGCGTCGCCTCTGCCTAATTAGTCTCTGCGTAGCCCGCTCGGACCTGACTCGCGGCTGGCGCGCTCGCCCGCGGCCGCTGACTAAAAAGTATCCCCACCAGCCCATCCAGAAACGATCAGCAGGGGAGTTGGTGAATCAGGGGCGGCAGGACGCATGCAGTCGCGCAGCCGTCTTCGGGAAAATAAGGATCACACATAGCTCCCCGTATTGAAGTTTAAGATGGAAATCAGTGCAATTTACGATGGTGCTGCGATGGGGGGTGAGGGGTGTTTCGATGACTCGTAATGGCTGTTGCACTGATTTGTATCTTAAGCTCGCGTGGGTTTCGAAACTTGGAGCCATCTTGCGGCTCTCTTGGGGTTATCTTGGGGCCCTCTTGGGGCCCTCCTGGAGCTCTTTCTTGGGGCTCTCTTGGGGTCCTCTCAGGGCCTTCTTGGAGCCCTCTTGGGGCTCTCCTGGGGCTCTTTTGGGGCGCTCTTGGGGCTCTTTTCGGGGGTCTGGGGGCCTTCTTGGGGCTCTTTTGGGATGCCTGAGGGGCCTCTTGGGGCCGTCTTGGACCCTTTCGCTAAAAAAGAGGGGGGCCCTTAATTCGGACCCCCCCATCGGAGGCTCAAAAGTGCCGTCCTGGGACCCTCTTGGCCCGCTCTTGGAGCCCTTTTGGGCGCTCTTGGGGCCGTCTTGGGACCCTTTTGGATCCCTCTTGGGGCTATCTAAAACGAGAAGGCACAACAACATGGTTTTCCTTAGTCTTTTGAAGGATTTTTGGCCTCTTTGGGGGGTCCTCGGAGGCCTCGGACAGCACTTGAAACCGTCTTGGGGCTGTCTTGAGGCATCTTGGACGTGTGTCGGATGCTATCTTGACCCATATACCGCTATCTTGGGCCATCTTGGAGGCCATCTTGCGCTCTCTGAGGCCCTCTTGGAGCCATCTGGGGCCATCTTGGACGCTGCTATGGGTCGGGCCCCTCCCCGTCCAAATGCATGGAGAGGGGGAGGTAAACCTCTCAAGCAGGGAAAGGAAGGAGGTTGGACACAAGGAAACGCCCTAGACCACCTGCGCCCAGAGGGCGGGTGGGACTTTACAGACGAATTTGCAAGGCGCTAAGACGAGAGCAACATTTTGAAAACGACCCGCCCTACATCCTTGACGCCGTTGCGAACTTTGAAGACGACTGTGCGAGGCGCTAAGGCGAGAGCAAGATGTTGAAAATAAACCGCCTCCTATCTAGGAAACATATGTAGACGTTAAATCGAATGTGCGCGGCGCTGAGGCGAGAGCCGCATTTTGGAAACGAACCGCCCTCCACCTTTGAAACTGTTGCAACCTTTAAAGACGGACTTGCGCGGTGCTAAGGCGAGAGCTGCGGTTTGAAAACGAGCCGCCTTCTGTCCGTGAAGCTATTACGAGCCGTGTGAATTGCGAACGTCGAAGCGAAAGGAGGAAGGCCACCCTGCTTGAGGTGGCTGGCGGCAGGGCTGCGGCCTCTGCTCTGTATTGCTGCCCGTCTTCGCGTGGGTGCGTGTTTGATGCTCTCTGCTCCATCAAGCTTTGAACACACGCCCTCCTTTGCCTCCTCTCGCCAGTCCATAGATCCAACGATTGGCGATCGCAAACAGAGGTGTGATATATCCCTTCTTCTGCAGGCGTGATCTGCCAGTCTCTCCCGCAGGCCTCTTCTGCGGATCCTACCTGGCACGGAGGAGGAGGAGGAGGAGGAGGAGGAGGAGGAGGAGGAGGAGGAGGAGGAGGAGGAGGAGGAGGAGGAGGAGGGAGGAGGAGGAGGAGGAGGAGGAGGAGGAGGAGGAGGAGGAGGAGGAGGAGGAGGAGGAGCCGCAGAAGAGCAGCGGGGAGGCCAGGCGCACTGAGGCGTGCGGCTCCCTGCCTCCCTCCGCGCCCCCCTCTGCGGCCGCAGGACCCCCAGCGCGCCTCCCGGGCCCGCGGTGGCACCCGCACCGGCCCCCACTGGAGCGGGCGTTGAGGAGGCTCCGGTGGGGATCCTCCTCCTCCTCCTCCTCCTCCTCCTCCTCCTCCTCCTCCTCCTCCTCCTCGTCGTCCGCTTCCCCAGCAACGGCCGCCGCCGCTGCAGCCGGTGCCGCTGTCGCTGCCTTTGCAGCACGGCTGCCGCCGCGGCCGTCGCGGCCATGGCCACGAGCGGTCGCCGTCGGTGCCACCGTCGCCGCGGCCGCCACGGCGATGGAGCGTCGGCGGCCCGCTCTGCAGCTGCCGCCGCCGCTGCCTCTGCCGCGCGAGCGCCGCCGCGGCCGTGGCGGACAGAGCGGCCGCCGTCGGCTTAAGTCGGGCGTGTCCCCCTCCCTGTAGGAGGAGAATTCAAAAATGGTCAAAAATAGTCAGGGGGCGACTTTTTGTCAGTTTTTGACAATTTTTGAATATCTTTTGATTCTTTTCAATTTGTCCTCCAAAATCCGCCTGGAGGAGGACGTGCCCGACCTGACCGTCGGTGCCACCGTCGCTGCGGCCACCACGGCCGCCGAGGCTGTCACGACGTTCGGCAGCGGCGGTGGGCAGTACGCGTGCAGAGCGCACACGTGCGGAGGGCCCTCGAGCACCGCTCTGGGTCCTCTCGTCGCTCCCCGTTTGCCTGGGAATGGCAAGGATTTTTGCAGGAGGACTGAGCTGAGTCGCGCCGAGCTCAGCCGGCATGGGGACGGGAGGACGTCCTGAGCGTGGGAGGCCAGACCAGGAACGGGAGCTGCGAGCGAGCCAGCGCGTGCCGTCGCCGTCGGTCACTTGGACCGGCCCGAGAGGGCAGCGCGGGCGGGCCGGGGCCCAGAGAGACGAGGGGAGGGAGGGGGGGGGGAAGGAGTCCGGCCGAGGTATGGGCATTGGCGAGGGCACACTGGCAGGCCAGGGACGGGATCGGGATTGCAGCAGGACGCCGCCTGCCAGCCTCGTCTCGCGCAGCCCTTCGCCAGTATTTGGCCGGCAGGCCTACAGCGTGCACGGCGACGTGGCGCGGAGGGGAGGCGCTCCGGCCCGGGAGGGCGCTGATCGATGGTCACGGGCATCGTTCGGGGGGGATAGGCTCAGGGCGGGGTGCATCGACCCCCACTCGCCCTTTCATCGCCGATATGGGGCCGCCTATACCCCGCCGAGGGACGCCTGGTTTCGCAATCGGGGGCCTGTCGCCGATGGGTCAGGGAGGTATCGCCGATTCCAGCTCGACGTTTTCCCCTTGAACCGGTCCCTACCTGACTTTCCCCGTCGAGGATGCGTCTTGTTCAAGGACGGGGACGGGGGCGCGGCCGACCTGGCCACCACCTGCGTCGAGGCTTCAGTCGGCTACACGACCCTCCGCTGGAGTGAACTTTGGTGCGCGGCTTTCGGGGGGGCGCTGGATGGGGCCGTACCCAAGCACGCAGGCGGCTATAGTGGCATCGCGTGTAGCGATCAGCAAGCCGCGCGATACAGGTCGCTCTTGCGTGAAGCCGCATTCGGATGACCGAAATTGTGTTTTTTGATAAAGTCAGCTGTCGAGCATCGCCTCCTTCTTTGCGGCTCCATTGCTGGCGTGCCAAAAGCTGCTATCAATACGGCTTATTGGCGTGAGGCAACGGCAACGAGATGATGGCAATGTTTTGCCTGATCTGGCACGGTTATCCAGAAACCCGCTGCTTTCCATTATTTAGTACTCAACCTTTGTTGGGATGATTGTTGTCTTCTTGTCTTGTTGGTTGTTGCATCCTTTCGCTTGACTGGTTGATTAATCTATGCAATCTTCATTGATGTGATCGACTTGCTTCCCGTATTATCACATACCTGGTGCTACAACTCCCGCTTGCGACACCCTGGATACCGACAGCTGCAGGTCCGATGTTCGATCTTTGCCGCGGTGTCTCCTCACCGATCCGCCATGATATTGTGTCTGTGTATCCTCTGGCGCGCAGTGGTCGTTACCCGCTCCCCCCCTTCCCCAGTAACGGTAACGATCGTACGCAGGGAGGGGGGGGGTTGGACCCCCCCCACATGCGGATGCTCGCGCGCATACTATGGCGATCGCGTTACCGTTATCTGCCCCCCCTCCTGGAGAACGACCGTTACGCGAACAATAAACAATAATTCCATTGTCAACACAGGGCGCCCGCAGTCATCTTCTGTGTGTGCGCTCGCCTTTTCGCGCACCACAGGGTTCGCGTGAGAAGATTTCGTGGACGTGTGACAAGCGAGACGCCGTTTCATCGCTCGCGTGGAGTCGGAAACTGGAGCATATGACATTACCAGTGGCGGGCTGTTTTTTCAATCCCAGGACTTTTGGAGGGTCGGGGACGACGTCGGGGTTCGCTTCCCAGGGAAAGCGACGAAACATGTAGATACCAGGATCCCGTATGCATCATGATCCGCTGTCCTGTGCAAGCTTCAGGGCAGGGACAGAAAAAGCGTTGGTGTATGGAGTCTGTTCCCCTATGGAGATCACGTGCGCGGGACACATTCCGAGCGCACATGGCCGTGCTTCCTTCAGGGGCCGCAGCTCGTCTCTACACGCTCGCTCGCGGGGCATGCCTTGCCCAAGGCTTGCAGCGCACACACGGTGGTGGGATGAGCGAGGTGCCCTTCCGAGAAGTGCAGGGAGCTCATGAGGAGCCCTCCCTTCGAAGGGGCTTTCTGAGAAGCCTCCGATCCCTTGCGGGACGCCCCCTTCCTCTTCAGAAGGCCCCCCGATCCTCCCCGCCCCCGTTTTGCGCTCCGCCAGCAAGGGCTTTTGGAACGTACCAGTGCGCGATTCGCACATCGCCCGAGCGGATCCCGTGACAGATCGGGAGCGTAGCTTTGCGATGACTAATTTTTAAAACCCTCCTGTGTTGTTGGGTCCTCTGTTTGAATACGCAGCGCCACAGCCCACCTTCTTCTCCCCTCGCCTCCCCCCTCGCCTTCCGCACTTCTCATCCCTCGCGCCTCTCGCAAGTTTCCTGCCCCCACGCGTCAAAGCTCCACTTACGGGCCCCAGTGGAAGGGTTCGCACAGCTGCTCCGTGCTTACTTTGGCACGCCCGTCAAACGGGTGGTGCCCTTTCGGAGCTCCACATACAGCAAGGTTCGCATGGCCGCTCTGCGCCTAAACTCTGCACGACGCTCGCACGGATCGTAGTACGTCAGGGAGCTCCAGCTGCGGCCCCAGCGAGCAAGTTCGCACGGCGGCTCCGTGCCCACTCTCTGGAGCACCCTTCATACGGATCGTGTCCCTTAGGGAGCTCCACCTGAGGCCTCAGCGGGCGCGACAGCATGCCACGGCGCGTCCAATCTGCACACCCCTCCCACGGATCGTGCCCCTCAGGGAGCTCCACCTATGGCCTCGGCGCGTACGTTAGCATGATGCGGCGCGCCCATTTGGCTACACCCCTCTCGCGGATCGTGCCCCCTAAGGGAGCTCACCTACGGCCTCAGCGGATGTGTTCGCAAGCCGCGCGCGCCCATAGCACGGGTCATGCCCCACAGGGGCTTCAGCGCATTTGCGCCTGCTTGCTCTGCTGCCCGCTGACAGCATTGCCCCGCGGCGCGCACTGTGCGATAAGGGGGCCACGCCCTTCGCTAAGCAGCTGATCGGGCGGGGCCCTTCGCCAGGCTAATTGCTTTCATGAGATTCCCGCGTCGCCGTGCAAATCTAGGACCTGGCCGGGCTGCTGAGTATCGCCATCTTCGCATATTTTTGGAGGCCTAGAGGTTGGCACCAGCACCAATATCGGCGGTTGTCTCCACCGAGGAGTGATGATCCCGGTCTCGGTGATGGGCCGAAGTGGTACACCGACACGGAATCCAGGATCACCTTCGCGCGGAAGAGGCACCCCGCTGCTTGCAACGTTCACCGTGAGGGCGCGGGTCCTGGAGGAAGGGGTAATCTGTTGTTGCACCGTTTTCGGCCTATTGGCCTTTCTCTACGCCCGTGGTCGTCAACAAAGGAGCAAGGGTGAACACCGTGTCGCAGGGGAAACCTCTGGGTCCACGGCCCGTTTTTCTGCCAACATGTCTGCAGCATTTCTGGGTCAAGGCGATCCGCTGAAGGGGAGATAGCGTCCATTGAGTTGCACATGTGTGGTCGCGCTTCACTTGTTACAAGCGAGCTTTGTGGCAAGCATGACTTCGAGCGAGAACAGCCTATACGATAAGTGCGAGCGCCTTACGCTCATGCCAGCAGGCAGATTCTTCAAGCTGGCCCCCTCTTGGGAGCAGACTCGCGTCTGGGCCATCGACATTCACAGGACCACCATCTGGGAGGTGTGCCTGGACATCATCCGACAGCTGGCGGTGTCCGCGCTGGAAGCGAAGAAATTCGCAAAGGTCACAGAGCTCGATTTGGGCTCCACCAAGCAGCTTTCGTATGATCGGGCCATCCCTGAAACTGCTGAGCCAGAGGAGGTACGCCCTTTGGCTGGCCTGGCCTGCCAGGCCTCCGCGGAGGCAGATAAGACGCTCATCAAGGACTCGCCGCAGGCGTTCGCGGTGTCAAAAAGCAATGCTGGTCGCAAGGAAGAGTGTAAGGCTCTGTACAAGCCTGTTGTGCTGAGTAATTGCGACCAGATTCTGCCGTTCCTTTACCTCGGCGGCGTTGATGCAGTGGTAGACACCGAGCGCGTTGTGGACCAGGGGATTCGTGCAGTCGTCTGCTGCCTTCGGGACCTGGAGTTTCCTACGAGGGACTTCAGCAATGATCTCGAGTACTATCGGGTGGACGTGGAGGACATCAGCAGGGAGCCGATCGAGCTATCCAGCCTCGCTGCCGCGTGTTATCCGCTACCGCGCCTGGGTCGATGATCCTCAGGACGTGTGCTAGTCCAAACGTGTACTTGCCCGTTCTGGTCCGCCCCCCCGCAGCCTGTGTCGGCCTTTGCTGCGCCGCTCGCGTCGTCTTCAAGGGCCTCGGCAGACGCGCAAACGTTGGCGCCAGGACGCTCTCCGAGGATCGCGGATCGCTGGATCCGCGCAGCAGCGCTGGACAGTCGCACGGCAGCAGGGCTGCGTGGCCGCTGCCCCTGCCTCTTCGGGGCCGCCCTCGGGGCCTCCTCGGCTAGCTTCTCTTGGTCAGAAGCTGGAGCATATACATTACCAGTGGCGGGCCGTTTTTCAATCCCAGGACTTCTTGAGGGTCGGGGACGACGTCGGGTTGGTGTGGTGTATACTCTGTCCCCCGTTTTCCTGAGGAAGCAACGAAACATGTACACCAGGATCCCGTATACACCGGGATCCCTTTTAATGTGCGTACTCCAGTGCGGGGTCGGAGACAGCGTCGGTGTATAGAGCTCGCTTCCCTATTTGGGTGGCTTCTCGGGGGCTTCCTCTTTGGCCCCCTGGGGAATCCACAGCGGCACTGATCCCCGACCCCACCTGGAGGGCGCGCGGTCTCCAGCAGGGGCTCTGCCTTTCGCCCCTCTCCCCTGTCGCCTCGTCGTTCGTTCCCCCTTCGGTGCTCGCGTCCTCGAGCTCGTCGTCGCCGCCGCCGTCGTCGTCGCCGCCGCCGTCGCCGTCGTCGTCGCCGTCGTCGTCGTCGTCGTCGCCGTCGTCGTCGTCGTCGTCGTCGTCGTCGTCGTCTTCGTCGTCCTCCGAATCTTGCGGGCCAGCGCGGGATTCTCCCCGAGCCGACGCCCAGCCGTGTCGGGGGATGCCCCCTATCGTCGGAGTCCAGGGGGTCTTGCGGTATCCTCCAGCTCCTCTGGGGTTGTGTCTGGCAGCTGCCTCAGGGAGTATTAGGGCTATATCGGGTTTGTCCCCGTGCAGTCTCCTGTCCCGCGTCGTGCCCTCAGAAGAGTGCCTCCCTACGGTCCCATGATTTGGTGCGCGCCGCGGATGCTGCGGCGCGCCCATTTCGGGACTTGCCTCGCCACAGGGAACTCCACCTGCGGGTTGCGTGGGCGCGTGCGCATGCAAACCCGCACCCAGCTTGGCACTCCGCGGGGGTTGGTGTGTGCCGCCTCGCGCCCACTTCGGCACGCCCCCCTCGCGCTCCGTGCCCCCACGGTTATGGTGCATGCCACCCGCGCCTACTTTTCGGTGCACCCTTCGCACGTTTTGGAGGAGGCCCGACGCATGCCGCGGCCGCGCCGGGAGCGCGGCGGTGGATTCTTCCCCGAGGCCACCGCCTTCATCCACTCCCGGGTGTCTCGCGAGCAGCCCGTGCTGGTCCACTGCCGCGCGGGCGTGTCCAGGAGCGCCTCGGTGGTGATGGCGTACCTCATGACGTACCAGGGCTATGCGGTGGCTTCTGGCCTGTCCCGCCAGCTGGCCCCCGAGCCTCGAGGATCGAGGCTCGGTGAGGATTGAGGTTCGAGGTGCGAGGAAGATCGAGGATCGATGGGAGGAGGGTCGAGGATCGAGGATCGCGGATCGAGGATCGAGGAGGAGGAGGAGGAGGAGGAGGAGGAGGAGGAGGAGTACTGAGTACTGAGGACTGAGGACTGAGCACAGAGTACTGAGTACTGAGTACTGAGCACTGAGTACTGAGTACTGAGCACTGCGTACTGGTCTGGGAGGACTGTTCCCAACGCCACGCGACGAGACTGCCTCTGTGCGTCGGCCTCACGGGCTGACGACTGCCGCAAGCGTGAATACGACAGCGACCCACTGGCCGCTCGGCCAGCAGCTCCGCGCTGTGCACCGAGCGCCGGCCCCTCCCCCCCAGTGGGCGCGCAGCCTGGGTGGCGGGTGCCGCTCCGTTGGGGACCGGCTGCATCACTTCCCGCCTCCCGAACCCGCCTCCGACCCCGTCCCCGACCCCGCTCCCTCCCTCGGGGGCGGCCAAGAGGGGGGTGATAAATAGGGGTGGTGGTGGATATCATGGCGGGGGCCAGGATATCTCCCTAGGTTTCATGGCGCCTCTGCTTGTGTTTCATTACGTCCCCAGTCCCCCCCTGGGCCGCGCACATGCCGCGCCATCCCTGTCCCCATCCCGAGCCCCACCATCCCACCACCCAGTTGGGAATATGCCCCTCGAGATCCGAAGAAAACGGCCCATATCCCTACCCAGGGGGGGTTAAAGATCGGCCAGTGGGGCCCAGGCCACGCTCGTGGGGATAGGGATCGGTGAAACGATGCTCAAAACAGCCTCCAACCCCGTCCCCGACCCCGCTCTCTCCCTGCGATCGCGCGCGCGCCACTTCCCTCGGCCTTTGCCTCGGGGCCCGGGCGGCTGAGCTGCATTTCGTTGCGGTGCATCCCCCCTCGCATTGCCGCGGCCACGGCCTCTGCCCCTGCCATTCCCTTCCGGCGCGGGTGGCAGCACAACAACAGGAATGGATGGGAGAGCGGGAGAGGAATGCGTAGTCATGGCATCTCCCTGCTGCTGAACAAACCTGTGCTGGACGCTGCGCTCGGCTGCAAAGTATCGTGTGAGACAATGCCTCGCGAGATCAGGTGAACAAGTCCATCATTACCCTTGATCATAGAAGGGATCACTCGCCCCGCCTGCCCTCGCCGCCACCCTTTCCGGTTCCACCTCCGCTGCGAGTTCTCTCTCTCGAGTGGCCCCCTTGGTGCTGGACCCGTCAGCTTCTGGCACTATCCCTTCGTGATCACTAATAGGCGCATGTGATCGAAGACTGCTTCCGTCGGCGCCGAGCGCCGCTCCACGGCCAACGATAGGACTCCGGACTTCTCCTCTGAGTCGCTGAGTGCCTTCTTGTAGCGGCAATGAAGAATCTTGTCTTCCAGGGCTGGGATATCGATTACCATCACCACGTCGGCCCAGAAACCCCGCAGGACGGCGTACGGCTCCTCGTCCGCGTGCGGGCCGTTGAGGCCGATGAGCATGATGATGTGCTGGAGCAGCGCCAGGAAGCAGTGGATGTGAGGGGTGCCTCGAGCCTTGAAATTGACGTCCTGGCTGGCCTTCTGCTGCTCCTTGAGCGCCTTGCTGTCGCGGTCGTACTCTGCGCCGCTCTTGGCCATCACCGTTCCGAGGTCTTCTCGGGTGGACTCGGGCACCTGGAACGTGTTGCGGACCACCGCCGCGAGGGCCGCCAGCTGCCTGTTGTGCGTGAGGGTGTGGCGCGCCAGCCACCGCGCCGTCCTCTTGAGGCTCCGATCGCCAGGGCCGTCGTCCTCGCCGCCTCCCCCCGCCGCCGCCCCCCCCCCCTCCTGCCGCCGTCAGCTCTGCCACCTCTGCCGCCGGTGCAGGGCCCGCGCCAGACCCTCTCATGAACGGAGGCATGCCGGTGTCGTGAGGCGGGGCCGTCGACTCCGCCGCCGCCGCTGCCTCGCCGCCCGCAGCATGCACCAGCTCCCCAAACTGCAGCTCGGGTATTGGTGCGTGCATCGGGTCGTTGTGTCAAAACGGGCCAAGGAAGATGAACCACGATGTGGCTGCGGAGAACAGCGTGACTCTGACCTCGGGAATCACGGATCCTGCATTGGTGCCATGCTGATTCGACCAAAAGTACCATACTTCTTGGACCGTGTGCTCCACGGTAGCCTGGAGCGAGTGCAGCCTGAAAGTGCCGCGCGGACATCGTCCGATTGCTAAAGATCTTCAGGCAGACGGGGCATTCGTTCGAGGTCACCAACACGTGGCTTAGGCTTCGTACATGATGTCGATGTTCCATGAAGCCTTGTCGTGATGTGATGAAAATCGGCATGGGCATGTACTAATCCTCCCCTCCTCGTCCGTCAGCTCCACCGTACACGCATAAGGGAGATGCAATTCATCTTCGACGTCGTCCTCTTCTTCACGGCCGTGGCGGTTAAGGTGCTCCGGAAAAGCTTTTCGGAGCAAGCTGGAAACGTCATGGCAGTCCACGGAGGGAGTTCGTAATATGTAGCCGTTTTGGCTCAAGTAAACATGATGGCGAGTAACCATTCAGTAAGGTATCATTGTTGCTTTTTCACATCGCGACCGCCTCGGGCTGTGCCGCCACACGATTCCTTCAGTTTGCTTACCATGGATGTAACTCTTCCTTGCACGCCGCCGACGGCGAGTAATCGGCGGGAGCTCACGCCCTCAAGGCGGCGGCGGGTCAGATATCGAAGCTTGATGGTGGCCCGGGAGAGGGAAAAGTTCCAGGAAGAGAGGATAGACGTGCAGCAGCAGCTCCAGGTGCTCGAAAGCAGTCTCCAGTGGTTGTCTACTCCGCCCAATTCGCACGAAAAGCTGGGAACTACGGACGGCCCAAACTGAAGCTTTCCACTGCCAAGTTCGCGGAAGCGGATCACGGCGCACATGGTGAGATTGGGCTTTAGGGAGCAGAAGAGAGATTTGGAAATGCATTCACGTGCCTTAAGTGTAACGTTTAGTTGGAGGATGAATCCGTCAATTGCTGGTGCTTTCAGCTCGTTTGCGTTTCGCGTCGGACAGAGGCTGGTTTTTTGCATGGGCTCTCAACAGGCGATGCGGTATGGAGTGCGGGGCTTGCGGCTGCATGGAACCAGTGCTTGATTCTGAACTGAACAATCTTTCACAGCAGGGCTTCCTTTTTGGCGAGCATGACTGTATCGGCTCGGTGGGCGAGGAAGCTTGCAGAATGAATGACGATAACATGGTGGTGGTTTTCAATTAGTTGGGTGAGCGGGATGTGTGGTGCGTGCCACAGCTCGCGAGACCAATCTCTCATGCAACCATGTTGTTCCGTCGAGTGCATCGGCGACGAAGAATGCATTTCCCACTGTTCTTGTAAGATAGAGACCGCTACGGGTAAATTTCAATGATTGGTTTGCCACGCTGCAGGTGAACAGGTTGAGACGGCCAGTTCGAGTGTGGCCGACGACGAGGACTTTAAAGCTGTTCCAACATCCAGGGTTATTTCGGCTGGGATGCAGTCTGGCAAAGGTGTGGTAGATGAGATTTACCCTAGCATTGACAAGGTCGCCTTCCCCTTCCGACAGGGGAGGTGCAACACCTCAAGTTGTCGAAGGTATGCAAGGGGGTGTCCGCTGCTGGGTCGGCGTCGTCATCCAACACAGTGTTCGCTACGACCTCTCGGCCGGTATCCGGGCTGGACAGCATGGATTCGTGAAGCGCGTGTGAGATTTCAATGTCAGATTGTGGTGCGAGCAATTCTGAAGCACAGGGCGAGCTCACATGTGCTACACACCACTCTTATTGAATTGGTTAACCCATTAGTGGTTTCTGCCAAGCTGCAGTGGCTCTTTAATTGTCCTTCTCTTCAGTCTCAATTTCAATGCTTGTACGTACTTTCTTTACACAGCAGTTTGCCATTTTTAATTATTTTTGAAAGCTTTCTCAAAACTTGGGCGAGTCATTCGGCAGTCCTGTGGCAACCCGATCAGTGGCGCGTCAGAAAAAGTATCGGACTTTTACGGCAAGAGATTTTGGCGAAATCCCCCCTCACTTCATCCTCCAGCAGTTGCCATGGACAATCCGAAACCCGAGCCAGCAGCTCCTCCGAGTCTGGACAAGATCGAATGGCCTCCTCGATATCACTGCCAACCCTTCGTGCCCAAGGAGATGCCGACGCCGTAAGTCCGTCGGCCGAAGAGGGCCAATCGGTGGGATTTTCGAACAACATATCACCGCCAAAGAATGCAAGTAGGACTTGAACGTGACATTCTTGGTGCTCTGCCCAGGACTGGTACCAGTGAAGTCGTCGCGCCAACAGCTCCGTCCTACTGTCTGAAATTTCCCCAAAGTCCAGAACTTCGCGTGTGGAGAGTGTGCGTGCATGATCGTCGCCGTGTGTGTATGCTCCCCCCGCCATTGCCGTCCTCCTCAGTCGTGCTAAGTGCCTGTATGAAGGGCTTCATTCCAGTAAGCAGGGGCCCTAGGACTAGACCGATCAACATTACTCGTCTCCATCGCCGGGGAGCATCCAATGACCAAATGCCGCCCATGCTGTAAAACTCGGCTGACGCTGCTGCAATTCGGCGGTCCATTTCAGGGGAGGACAATTGTAGAGAAGTAGTCACTGGTCTGAGGTAACGAGCGATGTCTGTCACCGTACCTTCAAGACGTCCTTCCTGCACACCCTGCTCCCTGAGATAGCGCTTGCACGCAGATGCTCCTTCGCCCGCAATATAGAACCTTGTCACCTGCTTAGTCCGATTTTGGGCATAGCCAACTGGGTCTAACGAGTTGTCGAGTAATCGATCAATAGTCCTGAGGTCCGCAATCGCATCTAGCATTCTGTCCCCGATGGGTAAAGGAACTAACCTAAGTCGATCGTCGGCATATGTTTGATACGACGCATCAACTGGCGCTGCACACCATAATGTCTG